ATAGGACCATGACAAATGTCTTTTTTGTCCAATTATGATTTAGCTAGTTTTTTGAGTTTGAAAATATAGGTTAAATTGCCCAATGATGAAGACAAATCACTTTCTTGTTTGTATGTCCTCGTATAGGAGCATCCCAAATGTCCTTTTGTGCAAATATAATTTTACCAGTAGTGCCAGTGGATTCAATTTTGTATTCTACTGTCTCTTTTTCTGTTCTGGTAAATGGCACTCCTGAAGGCCATTTTCGAAGTAGTAGGGGATTGCGACAAGGGGATCCTTTGTCTCCACTACTGTTTGTTATTGTAATGGAGGCATTCAGTAAAATAGTTGAAAAGGCTGTGGGGGAAAGTTTGTTAAAGGGGCTTTAGGATTGGTCAACTGCAGATATCTCATTTGCTATTTGCAGATGATACTCTGATCTTTTATGACGCTGACGTTGAGCACTTTAGGAATTTGCGTCGTTTGCTTCTATGCTTCGAAGCCGTATCTGGAATGAAGATAAATTTGTGGAAGTCTGAGGTCATCATTGTTGGAGAGGTCGATAATGTGGAGAGGTCGATAATGTGGAAAGGTTGGCTGCTACATTGGGCTGTAGGGTTGCATAGTTGCCTATGACATATCTTGGGCTCCCATTAGGAGCAAGGTTCAAAAGTAAAAACATTTGGGACAGTATAGTGGAAAGGGTAGAGAGGAGATTAGCGGGTTGGAAGCGTATGTACCTTTCAAAGGGAGGTCGTCTTACTCTTATTAAGTCTACTCTCTCGAATCTCCCCACTTATTTCTTGTCCAATGCAAATAATTTATGCAGCTTCAACATCTCTCGGTCAACAGAATTTAAAAAAAAGAATAGCCTATTCCTCTGTATCTCATATGGGTTTATTTCCCATTCCTGTTACAGTGGCTAAGAGACTAGAGAGGATCCAAAGGGAGTTTCTTTGGGGAGGGTTAGGAGAGGAGAGGAAATTTCATTTAGTAAATTGGGGTGCAGTTTGTTCTCCCTTAAGGGTTGGGGGACTCGGATTGAGGAGCCTTGTATTGTTTAATAAGGCCTTGTTGGGTAAGTGGTTATGGCGGTTTGGGGTGGAGAGGGAGAGTTTCTGGAGAGAAATTATAGAAGAGAAATATGGCATGATGGAGAGTGGATGGTGTTCAGTTGAGAGCCGTGGTACCTACGGGGTGAGTTTATGGCTGTTTATTCGACGAGGGTGGAGTGACTTCCGGAATAGAGTGACCTTCGGTGTGGGGAATGGCAACACTATCAGCTTTTGGGATGACTGTTGGTGTACTGATCAACCGTTAAGGGAGCGATTTCCTTCTTTGTATCGTATTGCCGTGATGCCATCTGCTATGGTGAATGATGTATTAGATACACATAACGGGAGCATCAGTTGGAACATTGTTTTTGGGAGGGGACTACAAGATTGGGAAGTGGATGATTACACAGTGCTATTGACCTCTTTGTATGACGTGCATATCAGGGTTGGAGAGTGTGACAGCATCAGGTGGATGTCGACAAGGGATGGCATTTTCTTAGTTAGCACTTATTTCAAATCCTTATTGGGATCTGCGGAGAATTTATTCCCTTGGAAGATGGTATGGAAGTGTAAATTGCCTCCAAGGGTGGCGTTTTTACTATGGACGGTAGTGAGAAGACAAGTTTTAACGGCCGACAATCTTCGATTGAGGGGGTTTTATATTACAAATTGGTGTCATGTGTGCAGAAAGGATGGGAAAACGGTTGACCATTTGTTCCTACATTGTGATGGGGCCCGTTTGTCGTGGAATGATATTTTGGCTTCTCAACATATGGATTGGGTGATGCCACGGCATATGGAAGATTTGTTGAAGGCTTGGAGGAGAAAGTTTCATGACAAGGACAGTAAACTCGTTTGGGATCTTATTCCAGGCTGCATTGTTTGGTGCGTGTGGAGAGAAAGAAACGGGCGCTGTTTTGATGATCAGATGAAGGCTTTAGAACAATTTAGAGAATTATTTTATTTGACATTGTATAATTGGTTTAGTGCTGTAGCTTCTAGTCACATAGATGGGTTGCCTAACTTCATGATATTTATTTCTTGTTTAAGTGTATAATATATTTCCT